CTCTGGCCTTCCTGGCTGTCCCCCAGATGTCCTAGCCAGCCGCACCCACCTTCTCTCAGGTTGCTCCATCGGCCAAGCTCTCCTGCTGAGTCTCATCTCCCTTTCAGTGTTTCCCATGAGCCTTATCTTCTCCACGGCGCCCGTTCTGAACACCTCTGAAGGCCACAGCGTGGGGTGTTGTACCACTGACTTGGTTCCTGCCAAGCCTGCTGTGCATTGAAGTACAAGGCTGTCCCACTCTGTGTAAATTCCTCAAGGATATAGGCCACATCTTTAAAAAACAATTTTTTTTATCCTCACCTGAGGATATTTTTGCATTGATCTTCAGGTAGAGTGGGAGGGAGAGAGGGAGAGAGAAACATCGACGTGAAAGGGACACATCAAGTGGTCGCCACCCGCACAACTCCAACCAGGGCCGGGGCCAAAATGCAACCGAGGCACGTGCCCTTATGGGAACCGAACCCGGGACTCTCTGGTCCGCAGGCTGATGCTCTGACCGCTCAGTCAGACCAATAGGCCACACCTTTTCATCTTCATCAGCATCACCACTTCCTGGGGATCACCAGGTGTGGGCCTGGTGTACAGGCTTCATAACCACTAGTCCATGGCCTCCTCCTTTAACCTTCTGAGTAGTCAAGGATTCTTATCACTGCTTGTAGACAAGACCCTGTGCCACACTGCACTTGCCCAAGGCTAGCCCGTGCCAGAGGATGTACATGTGGGTTGGCCAGGCTTCTGCAACCCATCCGCCTCCCTACTCTGCCTCTGCCTCCCGCCTTTATTCAGTCCCTGTGTCTGCCACACTGGCCTCCTCCAGGCTCCACCTCGGCCCCCTACAGGCCTGGAACCTCTCTCCTCGCCCATCTTCCTCCCCATGTTTCCCGGCCCCAGCTCCAGCCTGTCTTCCAGAGGCCCCATCATTCTGACCCCTGACTGCTATGATAATTTGCATCCACGACTACAGCTATGATGTGCTGAGGGTTTAAAATGTGCCATACACTTTTTATATGTTATATTATTAATTAATCTTCTCAACAAGCCGGTGATGATCACCCCGCTCCAGTCGACAGACAGGAAACCAACGCCCAGAGAGGTCCAGAAGCTTCCCCACGAACACAGAGCCAGCACGTGGCCGAGGCAGGCCCGGCCGCTCGCTGGGCTGACTCCTGTGGGGGTGGGCTCCCTGCAGCACTGGTCCTCAGCGGATCTCCATCGGCTCCCCGGCGGAGAACCAGCTCTCAGAACACAGCCCTTCCTGTGCTTCTCAGGCCCGCCCTCTGCACCTGCCCCCCTCCCCGCCCCCCGCCCCGAGCCCAGGAAGCAGCTGATGTCCACGGTCCGAGTTCCAGACACGCGAGCAGGAGGCGCATGAGGCCTGGTGGGGTAGCAGCCTTGTAGTCTGGGCCAAGAGCTCCAGAGGACTCGTGCCCAGCTCACTTCTGTACTGTCCTGTGAGCCTGGCCCATCCTCCAAGGTTGCCAGTCCCCCCCACCCCCCACCCCTCCTGCCTAGGACAGAGGGCCTTTCAGCCTTGGCTGCCACCACGACCACCTTCTCAGGAGGGGCTGTTTTTCTAAACTTTTGATCCTGAGGTGGAGACAGACTGCAGGTGTGGAGGGGACCTGGGACTATGTGATGGGGTGTCACTGTGACTACCATGTGGCATGTGTCCCTGCCCTTGGTGGGCCTCCCAGTGTAAACATGTCTATCTGAGTCGCGGCCTGTGTATGCCCCAGTGCGTCTGCCGTGCTCAGGTGTATGCTGGGGTGTGAGTGTGTGTGTCTGTGTGTGCGTGCGCACACGTGTGGTCGCTGAGTTCCCTACCTCACACAAGGGCCTCTTTGTCTTCGCGGCTGACTCCCTTTTCCATCAGAAGGCCCCTGTTTGAGTATTTTTATAGGGTGTCTCGGCCTTTTTTCCTCCAGTTCCCTCTGTTCCTTAGTGACTATTCCAAGCCCCAACTTACCTCATTCCGCCTAGACAAGAACAGCATTGGGGAGCTCTGAAGCCAGGGCCTAATTCCTGGCTCTGAGACACTCTGTACCTCTGTTTCCCCACTGAGAGTCTCAAAAAACATGGAGGAAAAATGCCGAAATAAACTGTGTCACTAGAAAGCCGAGACTAAGCCACTGAGCCCCCCTCTTCTCCTTCCCCACTGGAAACCCATGGTTTCTCCTTCTTAATGCTTCATCTGCTAAATCCTTTGCTTCCCTGGGTCTCAGTTTCCACATCTGTAAAATGGGGATAATAACAGTATCTAACTCAGAGTTGTGAGGCTATATGAACTATAAAGCGTCTAGACTAGTGGTTGGTACGTAATAAAAGCTCGTTAAGTGTAATTATTACCATTGCAAATGTTTATGGAGCCCTCTGTTGTGCTCAGTGTGCTGGGCTCCAGAGCCAGCTTCTCGTCTGATCCCCCCTCTTCTCTCCTCCTCTCCTGTTTCTGTTTAGGATGCTTCATAGGTCACAAGTTGGAGGGGTCAGGGACGCCTCCTGGCAGAAGCTGTTTCTGCCCTGGAATAGAGGCTGCTCTCTGGGACATGGGGTTGCAGGACTGTTGCTCTCAAGGGAAGTTGAGTCCCTCCTCCCAACCCCCCACCCATCCATCCTCCCCATGGGCAAGTTTGTCCGAAGGACAAAGTACGCTGTGTCTAAAGCGCCCTCTGCTGGCTGTTGGCAAAAGGCCTTGGGCAAGGGTGGCCGCCAGTTAATGGTAGGAGGGAAGAGCTTTCTGAAGGTGAGGGGAAGGGGGACTTCTACCCAATACAGAGCCCAGAGTGCTACCTTCTCACCCTCAAAATGTCAAAATGTCTGCTTGGAGTAACGTGTTTTTTTTTTTTTTTTTTGCCAATCTGAGAACAGGTTCTGAAGATAGCTTCCCTCTCCCCTCAGGGCAGAAATGCCAAGAACAGGACAAGCTGCCAGCCACAGCTAATGACCTGGCCCCAATAGCTGTGGATAACAGTAAGGAGGAGGGAGGCTAGACAGCATGCAGAACTTCCTGACAGCAAAGCATGATTGGGGGAGTGAGGGAGGGAGAGTTCTTATTTAGAAGGCAATGGGGGAGGGGTGTTGCCCCTCACAGAATCTGTCAGATCGGCAAGAACATTGTGAAAATTGTAAGCCCGATCGATACATTCAGAAGGTGTGGTCCACAGCAGGTCCTATTTCTTATATTGCAAGACCCTCTCCTCTGCTAAAGCCCAAGATAGATTTCCACCCATGTCCAAATGCACTGACCAGGCACTTGCCATGTATATATCTCTGTGGGAGGAATAAAATAAAAACTCTACGTGAAGGAGGAATTGGTTAGACTCCTGGGAGGACTGTCCCGAGTGAGGCTGAAGGTAGTCTCAACCCTTTAGAGTCTCTGGGGCCAGCCTATGGAGCAGGCCTTTCCTTCCAGGGTGGAGAAAGGGAGCTGGGAGCCGGGCAGCCAACATCTGGACGCTCTGGAGCTTTCTAGGGGACTGGTGGGTCCCGGGAGGAGAGAAGTGGCCACAGTGGAGTTGGGGGTGGTTGTTTTATTGCCTTTTATTGTAGAGAATGCTGCCGTCCAGATTACACGCAGCTAGCTGCATGCACAGGGCCCGCGGCCCCCGTGGAGGGCAGGGAGGGGCAGAGCACAACGCAGGCTGTGCTGCCTTCATGGGGTCTGGTGGCCGGGCTGCAGGACCGAGGCCCCAGGCCGGGCTCCTTTTGGCCGGGATGTCAGAGGTGTCCTCTCTAAGCAGGGACAGGGAATTCACCCCAGGCTCTGGCCAGAGTCGAGGACCAGGGCTGGGTAGGGGCAGAGTGAAAGGGATGAGACCGTGAGGAGGGCAGTGTGAGACCGAAGAAAACCAGTGATGGTGGGAAGGACCAGACAGGCCTAGGACAGAGAGGTCGCAGATTCAGCCTCCAGATCCTACCTCCCCGTTGTTCCTGCCCCACTTCTCCCCAAGTCTGCCAGGTGGAGTCCAGCAGGGCGGGCAAACAATGCGTCCTCCTGCTTTCTCCACACCCCCCCTCTTCCTCCCCACCTCCCCACCTCCCCGGCACAGCTGACCCTCGGGGAACACCGGTTCCAACTCTTTTCAGCCTTCAGTTGCCCCCGCCCCCAATGGACTCAAACTCACACACACAGGGCCGACTGTATGCCGTGACTGTTGTCATTTTATATATGGGACTTGAGCATCTGTGGACTTGAGTATTAACGGGGGTCCTGGAACCAACCCCCATGGACGCCTAGGGATGACTGCCATTTTGGGGGAGTCGAGTTACATGGATTTTCAACTGTGTGTGTGGGGGGTCAGCGCCACTAACCCCCATGTTATCCAAGAGTTGTGTACACACTTCTTCCTGGGCCCTGCCTGAGGACAGAGGTGTGGGGGACCCTAGCCTGAGAGGTGTCCCGACTCACCTTTGCTTTCGACAGCTTGGACCCATCCCCCTTTCCTTCTCTCCAACGTTCCCAGGGCCCCTTCACGCAAGTCAGAATGACCCCTTTCGGACCTCGAGCCCACCTGCGCGGACACCGCCTACACAGGCATGTGCGCACCCCAGTCCTGCCCCGCAGCTCCATGCCACCCACACGTCTGCACCCCCTAGAAGACATGGGTGATGGGCCAGGTGAAGGTGCGGGCAGCAGGACCCCCTGCTCAAAACAGCCCGGCAGGGCCTGGGGCAGGATGTGCCTCTGGGAGAAGGGGATGGTGGAGCATCTGGCTTGAGAGCCAGCAGCAGAGATGCCCAGGTGAGGAGCGGAAGGGGACAGGAGGGGCAGGGGCAGCCCCGTGCAGGTCTGGGGGCTGCCCGGCGCCCACGCTCAAGCCCGCTCCCACTCTGGCAGAACGCCCCTGTGGAGCCCCGCGGTCTGGCTGGTGCCTTTGCCCCCGGCTCCCACAGCAGAGAAGCTTCCCACTTCAATGCCCCCCTCACCTGGCGACACACGCAGGGCCTGGTGTATAGAGGACGTTTAATATTTCTGTGCTGGTCAAACGAAACACAGGTGGGGAGTACACGGGGGGCCCCCTGCCTCTCGGGAGGGGTGGCTTGTGAAGGGGTGTATGTGGGGGTTTCTTGGGAAATAGTCCAAGGAGTCTTCTCAGCAAAGGGGCCTGGCCTGGGGTGTCACGGGCACCCAGCACACCCAGTCCTTGGCCTCAAGTCAGGATCCCCCATAGGGGGTCTGTGGAGAGTCTCACCTTTTTCCAGCTCCTTGGCTGGAATCCACACTCCCAGCGTGATGGGGGACTTGGTCCTAAAGAGGGGTCTGGAGAGTCCCCAGGAAGCAGCCCAGGGTTGGGACGAGGGCTCCATGCCCACTGCCCGAGGGGACGGGGGCTGAGGGCGGCCCACCTCTCCCTTGCCCTCTTTCCTTCTCCCAGGCTGGGCCAAAGCAGAGGGGAGGTGAACAGGGCCCCAGCCCCTGCTGAGCCCCAGGGTCCTCAGGGTGGGGTGAGAAGGGGTGGAGAGAGAGGGTCTTGGCCACCAACAGACACTGTAAACTTTGGTTTAAAACAATAACTTAAGTGGAGGGAGGACTTCCAGCCTGGGGCCGGGCAGGGGCAGGGGCAGGAGGGGCAGGGGGTGGAGGAGGCGACAAAGGAAAAAGCCAACAAAAAGTTTTGGTTTTTGCTTCTGGCATAAGAAAGGTCTTTGGTCATCCATTTAACTGCGGGGGACAGGGAAGGGTGCTGGGGGGGGAGGACTGCAGTAGGGGACCTGTAGGCTGGGGGCAGGGTGACCCGGTGGGTCACAGCAGCTGCCAGATGAATCCCACCAGCTGAGACAGAGGCAGGATGCTTCTGGCAGTTGGGCACCACCTCTGCCCCAACTCCAGCCTCAAGAAAGGCTGGGCTCCCTTCATCGGCCCCAGCTCCAGAAGCCCGCCTGGCATGGGCCTCCTGGAGGCGGCGGCTCAGGGCCAATTCCTACCTCCCTGGGCTTGGGGCAGCCGCAGGGCATCCAGCAAATGGATGGAGGCCCAGTTCAGCCTGGGTCCCGCCTCGGGTCGGGTGGAGGGGCTGGAGCCAGGTGGCCCCGCTCCCAGGGACCCCCCAGGGCACACAATTTGCGCTGGCCCAGCTGTGGCTTTGGGTGGGCACAGCCCAGGGGGCGGGGTTCTGGGGATGGTTGGAACCGGCAGTTCCTCCACCCAGGCCAGGGCGGGGTGTGAGTTGAGGGTGGAGAATTTTTTCTTCACAGTATGGAAAAGAAGGTGGAAGGGAGCACAGATTGGGGAAGTGGGGGCCTCTGGCTAGAAAAACACTGCCAGAGCCAGTGCGAGGGGCCCTGGGTCTGAGGGGTGGCTTAGCCCCGCCTGCGGGTCTCCATGGCACTGCGGGCCGGTGGGGGACAGCTGGTGGGGGAGGAGGGCCCTGCTGCTGCTGGTGGCGGGGAGGGTTTGGGAGGGGTCTGGGCCCTCCGTGTCCTCTGTTGGTCCCAGACCAGGGGTTCTGTTTCCCCTTGGGGGCAGGCCTGTCCTTGCCCTGGACGTCTGTCAGTCTGGTCGCATTGGGAGTTGCTGGCCCAGCCCCCATCTGAGTCCTGGAAGTGCCTTGAGGTTTGGGCGGGGCTGTGGAGTAGGGGTAAGTGGGGCCTGGGTTCCAGGAGGGGTCTCACCCCTGTCCTGCCTCCCCCTAGAGGCCCTTAGGAGAGTTCCTCTCCAGGCAGCTCCTCCTCCAGGTCCCTGTCTTCGGCAGGCCCGGCGCTGGGGTTGGGCGGCCCCAGCGGGGGGCCGGGCCTTCTGTCTTCCTCCGCCTCCGCAGGTTCCTCTTTCACCTGCACCTGGTGGCTGGACAGAGGATCGTGTGGGCCCCTCGGGCTTGCCCTGTCTCCCGGAGACCTCAGCCAGAATTCTGTCCACGGGCAGCCTCCGCGGGACTCGGCACCCCCGAGCCACTGGGGACGGATGTCCCCCAGGGCTCTAGTTGAAGGGAAGGGGAGAGAAGAGAACAAGGGAGAGAGGGAGAGGGAGAGAGGATGTAGGGAGGAGAGAGGAGGGGAAGGAGAAGACCAAGGAGAAAGGAGAGAGGCCACTTGTCCTGGGAGGACAGGTGTGGGGTGATAAGGGGTGACCCCACCTGCAGTGGGAGAGGGCTCCCTCCCTGACATCTGTGGGCCTGGGGAGGAGTGGGGGTCCATGCTGTGTGCTCACCTGTACTGGGGTGGGGAGAGGCGAGGAGGGGTGCTGCTGCCATTGCTGGGGAGCGGCTCCCCGGGGGCACCCACATCATCATGGCTGAGGGGCAGGAGGCTGCTGGTGGAGCCGGGGTTCAGCATGCCAGGGCTGTTGAGGAGGGGGAAGCTGCTCTCGGCCAGGGCAGCCTGGAGGGCACCGGGTCGGCCCTGTCAGTGGGCTGCACTCAGTGGGTTGGTCCCTTCCCCAGCCCTACAGAGCCTCCCCTGCGCCTGCTGCACTGGCCTCCTGCAGCTGTCTTGGCAGAGCCCCAGCCCGGCTCACCTTTCCAATACCACACACCTGCCCAGGCCAGGGCTCTGACCCTGCCCTGCTCCCCCCACCTCTCCTGGGACTCGGGGCCTCACGCAGCCCCTTTCCAGGAGACAGGACCTCCAGACTGACAAGCCAGGGAAGGAGCCCCGGCGATGCGGCATCCTTGCTGCTCCCCTAGACCTAGTCTTGAAAGCAAGGTGTCCCCACCCCCACATGCAGTCGAGGTGGGTGAGGCAAAGGGCCGGGGTTCTTTTCTTCCTCCTTCACTCCTACAGACCGGTCCTCTGCAGGGAGAGGGGTGTGTGGAAGGGAAACCGAGGGGCAGGAGGGTACCAGGAGAGGTTGGTGGGCTCTGGGAGGGACCCAGTCACCTGGTAGCTGGCATTGAGTGCTCCGTAACTGAGGCCGGAGATCATGTTCTTCACCAGGGTGGGGCTCCTGGAGGAGAGAAGGCGGTGTTGGGTTCATTCATTCACTTACTCTTCACCTTGACCCTGACGAGGGCCTGCTCTGTGGCAGAGGCTGTCCCATTCATTGTCCTGGGGGCCAGAGCAGGGTGGGCCACTGTCTGCTGCACCTGTGCGCCCACCTTACTCCGTCCTCACGCTGACCCTGCGCAGCAGGTCCCAGCAGCTCCCCGCAAAGGTGACATGCTGGGACTTCACTCTGGAACGTGTCTCAGAGCCAGGGTGTGGGGAAAGGGCCCTTCCCCCCGCTGCCTGTCTTCACCTCATCCGTCCCAGCACCTTTTCTCTCTAGTCTAGATTTTCCAATGTTCGGCAAGGTCCAAGCTATAGCCTCGACAGTCCCGTATTTATAAAATGCACACTTTCTTGCCATCCTGAATTTCGGGACATCGAATAAGTCATGTGCTCAGCCAGTCACCACATGCTCCGGACCCAAGGCTTTTCTGCCCAGGAAGGTGTCGGGGAGCTGGGTCAGGGAAAGCAATGACTCACACTGTGATCACCCCCAGCTCACAGAGTGTCTCAGAGAGGTTAAGGAGCTGGCCTGAGGTCACACAGCTGGTAGGGAGTATTTTGAACCCAGATCTCCTGATTCCAAGCGGAGTGAGACGTGATGATACCAAGCGTAGCACTCAGAAGGGTATGGCTTTCCTTCCCCTTTCCAGGTCCCGACCCTGGCCTACCCCACGGCTGCCTGGGGTGGGAGGCTCTTGCCCAGGGAGAAGGGACTTGATGTCTCTGATGCTGAAAGGGAAGGTTTTGACCCTCCCAAAGGGGAGGTTTTGACCCTCCGCCAGGTTCCTCAGTTTCCACCGAAAACACTGTGCAGCTGAGCAGGTCACAGATGGGAGGTCAGAGACTCGGCTCTGCCGTGGATCTGCTGTGTGACCGCCCTCCAGCCCCTTGCTCCCTCTGGGCCTCCTCTCCTGTCAAATGAAGAGGTGGCACCTGGGGATCTCCATGGGCTCCTCCTGTGATAAGATGGCGGACAGTGGTTCAGGGGATGGCAGCCCCTCACCAACGGCCACACTGGCTGGCATCTGCCCATGTCCCAGCTCCGGCCATGCCCACTTGGGGCCGCTGTCTCCTTCTAGTGCCAGGTGCTCCTCAACTCCTCTCCGTCAGAAGTAAGGGCAGAATAAGACATAAATGTCCTCTTTCAAATCATCTGTCATTTCCAGATTTCAGTCTCCCCTGAGTTCCTATACCCCCTCTCTCCCCACCTCAGACCTGGCCCACGCCCTGGTGGGCGCACGTACCCCGTCATCTTTGGCGGTCTCCGCTTCTGATATTCCCGCTCGTCCACGGTCCACACGGCGCCCTTGACGTTCTCCACACGCACGAAGCACTTGTGCAGGCTGAGGTTGTGCCGCACGGCGTTCTGGGGGTGCAGTGACCAGGGGCAGGTGCTCAGAGGCAGCCTGCTGGGCCCTGCCCCGCTCAGGTGAGCACACCCCTTCCCTCACCCAGGGACCAGCGGGGGAGGGGCCAGGCGAGAGGACACCCGGCCACAGGGCATCGAAGGCCCCTCTCCGGCCCCAGGACTGACAGCCTCACTACTGACAGCCCTTTTCCTTGTCTGTCCCCTTCTCCCTGCCAAATTCTGGAAAACTCTGTCTACCAGCTAAACGATATGGAGTTAGTTACACTTTGTTTTTCCATCATCTTCCATCACACATGCTACTGCTACTTGGGGCTTCTGTCTGTCATGAGGTCGCACTCAGGCCCTGCAAGCCAGGTGCCCACAGGAGGTGCATTAAGCTTTGCAAAGTTTGGGGAATAACTCGGGAAGTCTCACTGTGGCCGCTCTCCGCCCTGGGCAGGGGGAGCCACGGCTGGGAGCTGTGCCCCAGAACAGACAGCTTGTTGACAGCATGAGGCACACAGCAGAGGCCTGGTGCGTATTTGCTGAAATGAACCAGGAGGAAGGGGAGCGTGGCTTTAGTAGCTGTAAGGCAGGAGGAGGAGAGAAAAGCGGAAAAGTCACCTTGTCGCTCCCACCTCCTCCTGGCAGAGTAACTTCTGGAATTGAGGTCATCTGGTTTGTAGGACACTTGGGTGAAGGTGGGGGTGCCTGGCCCAATTCCCTGCCCCCCGCCCCCAGGAGCCTGAGCTAGGGCCCTACTCCACCCACTCTCCCACCCGTGTCCCTCAGTCCCATCCCGGCGCTCTTCGCTCAGCGCCACCCCCCGCCGTCCCTGTCCCTGTTACCTGTCCTCCCTCACCGCCCCTTGTTCCCATCGTGTCTCCTCTTTACATTTCTAAATGGGGAAGAAAGCAGGCAGGGCGGGCAGCCTGTGCCCCTGGAGATCCCCTCTCCCTCTCTCCCTTCCAACTCTTGCCACTTGCAACTGGCCCGATTTCATTACCAATTTTAATTTGCCTCTAATTAAATCCTGTGTATTTTTCCGACTCGCTTGCTAATCCACGAGGGAGGCGGGCGGCTGGAGTGGAATCTCTTGGAGCGATAATTACAAAGGGCCTAATCACGCCGGGGCTCCTGCCTCGGAATAAATTTGCCCGCATTACGGGGCTCCGATCCTCCGCTTTGCAAATGAGAATGACCCCAATTTCCGAGGATGGCCTCACCGGGGCTTTTTTCCCTCATTTCGAAGCCTGATTCGTGATGAGAGACTAATTCGTTACGCTGAAACATTAACGGCAATTTAAGGGGTCTGGCGGGGGCTGCGTAAACAAAGGGACGGGCCCACAACATGGGCCCTGGAAGGGGACGGACACAGGGTGGGGCTGGAGAGGGCCCTCGGCCTGGCAGATGGCAGCTCTGTCCCCGGATGAATGGCAGCTGGCCTGGCCTACGCGGGCTCCTGACCCTTCTGCCCTGGTCTGCAGTGGACAGCGTCTCAGGGCGGGGGCCGGCGGGGTGGAGGAGGAGGAAGGGAGTTGAAATAGTTGAGAAGAGGGACCTCCGGGGGAGATAAATGGGCGGGAAGTAAGGGTGGGAGGGAAAGACTTGGGTGCAGACAGGGTGCGTTTCCCAAGTAACACGGATGAAGCTGCAAAACTCCTGAAGGTCAAAGTGGCCCGCAAAGTGAGCCCAGTCTGCCACTGTGGCAGAAATGGCAGCTGAACACTGCTCACCGGAAGGTCTCCACCCGGTCACGGAGCCAGCTTCCCACTGAGACTTAGGCTGGGTGAGGGGAGACGGAGGTGAGCACTCTGGGGAGACAGCCACTGAGGCGACCAGGGCCGGGCAACCAGTGGGGGGCGGCATGACAGGCCAAGGGGGTTGGGCTCTGGGGGAGGTGGCGTCATGACAATCATCCACTGATTTAAGGAGTCACCTAAACCAGTTCCCCCGACCTCAAGAAAGGAGAGTAAAGATGCAGCGAGGGGGTACAGTTAGGAGAACAGGAAAGGAGGGTAGGGGCCGAGTGCTGCTCTGCCCCCAGGAGGAGCCTGCCTTATGGATGTGAGGCTCTACACCGACACCCCGAAAGGCAAGGGATTAACATGCAATATTAAAGTAAACATCAGATAATCATCATCATGATTCATAGAGGGCGCTATCATTCACAAAAGCAAATATCCAACTGGCCTGGAGGTTAGAGACTGTGCTAGGAGGGCCCCAGGAAGGCCTTGCTGGCTGACAGAGAGGGCAGGGCTGTGGTTGGCAGGAAATGACATCACTCGCAGCCAATCAGAGACTCAGAGCTCCTCACCCAAGCTTTGGGACTTGGGCATGGGATACCAAGGTCATGAAGCAGTCTCTCCCGTAGCACTCAGCACACTTCCAGAGCACAGAAGGCGGGCCCTGCGCAGACCCCACCCACTCCTGGGCACTGGTGGGGAGGGGGCCTTAGGGACACTTGTTGAAACCTGGTGGGATGGGGGGAGGTAGCCTATTTAACTGCAGCTTCTGCACTTGCCAGCAGGGGGACCCAAGAACCAGGGAGCCAAGTAAGGTTGTGAGCTAGGGACTCCTCAGGTGGCTCAACTTCCCCACGAGGCTCAATCCTCCCCTCTCCTTCCCCCACCACTCTGCTGCAAAGACCCCTCTCACCCATCAGACAGACACAGACCTTTGCTATAGAGAAACAAATGGCTTAGCAGCTCAGCGCACACCTCAGTGTCCTATTTTCCTAGGGTCTCCCCCTGCCCGCCTCTGTCCCTCAGGAAACCTCCTATGGGGTGAAGGTGTTGAAATGACTAACTGGATGGAGACAATGATCTTCCTGCAGCCAATGGCAGAGTTGAGGAGAATGTGTGATGGCCTGTGTTTGTGCCCCAGTAAACAGTCCGTGGGTCTCACTCCATCCACAGGTCCGGGCCCCCCTCCCCCCCGCCCCTCCTGAGCTCCAGCACCTGTGCCTTTGGTGAAGGCATCCGGACCCTCAGGATCTCCTGTGAACGTAGCCCAGACCTCCCTACCAGGCTCAGGCATCATCGACTCCTGGGGGCCCTACTTCATAGGGTGGGAGTCTCCGAGGCCCACAGGCAAGCACTCTAGCAAGGGGAGGGTTTTCTTCCCAGAAAGAAGCAGCACAAGGCTAGAAAGGAGGGGTTATTGGAGGTGGTGAAAGAACATTCCATGGCCCTCCAAGAGGTGGGGGTGGGGCAAGCAGCCCAGCCCGAGCTCTGGTGGGCCATTCCGCCCGATCACCTCTCCTAGGGGCTACCTAGGCAGCCTAGTCTCAAAGGCGTGTGTGTCCAAGGGTGACGGCCCTGGGCCAGGGAAGAGGGGCATCCTCACCTTCCAGGTGGCAGTGTTTCTCCGGAAATAGGCGAACATCCTGGTGAACCAGTTATAGATCTCATTCAGGGTCAGCTGCCTGTCGGGGGTCTCCAGAATGGCCTGTGGGCAGGGATAAGCAGAGAGACCCTCAGTCTGGGCCGCCAAGGTCCCGGGCTGTGCTCTCTCCCCCAGGATCTCTCCTGCCTGGACACTCACTCCCTGAGAGCAGAGGGACTGAGGCAGAAGCCCGTGGCTAGGCCTGGAGAAGCTCGCGGGGCCTGAGCAGGGCAGGCTGGCCAAGAACACAAGCCTCGGGGGCTATGCACTTGTGTGAGGGGCACAGAGGTTCCTCTGGAGGGAAATGGTTCCAAGGGCCCTGCCCGGGGGGAGGGGGGGGTCAAATGCAGTATTCTTGGGAGAGCTACCCAGGGGGTGGGAGCTGTTTGGAATTTATCCAGATTTTGGCAAGGGGCACCCTCTGAGGTGTGTGTGTGTGTGTGTGTGTGTGTGAGAGAGAGAGAGAGAGAGAGAGAGAGAGAGAGAGAGAGAGAGAAGGAAGCTAAGAGTGACCACAGTCTATCAGAAAAGTCTCGTGGGAGTGTACGCGCATGAAGTGAGAGAAGGAACACAGTGGGTGTGAGCTGCAAATAAACGCGTGTGCTCCCAGGGAGGGTCACATGACCAGTGGGAGCCATGTGAGCCCCGCTGAGAAGGGAAACATGGGTGAGCAGGATGGACAGCCCTGAGAGGGAAAGTCATGTCCCTGGCCCAGAATCCTTCCGGAGGCTGGCACCTGAGGCCAGGGCGCAGCCTGGGGGCCATTCCCCGCCCCCTCTGGCCAACTTCCAGCTCACCTGGCGGATGAGGGAGGCGTAGGTGAAGGGGGGCCTGACGTCTGCATTCTTGTAGAACTCGTGATTCTGGGCCAGCTCTGGGGGAGACAGGCAGAGGATAAGGTAGCCATTCGGGGGGCCTAGCTTGGGGGGGAAATGCTCCTCCCACAGCCCTTACCTGAGGAGATGGGGGAGCAGAACTTGTCGCTGCTCCTCCTGCGGGCAGGGCCCCCGCTGTGCAGGGAGGCAGAACCCAGGCCTGGAGGCCTTAGAGGGGTGACAGGGGCAGCAGCTGAGGTGGGGGGGTGCACGAGGCCATCTGGGAATGAGTCTGCTGCAGAGACGGTCACCTTGGAGAATGAGGAGCCGGGGACTGGGTTCAGCTGTGAGCAATGGGGAAGGTGCTGAGACAGCCCGGAGGGGGGCCCAGAGGGGCCGGGGCTGTGGGAGGGTTATGGGGTACGGAGGACCGCAGGAAGGGAGTCACTCACTGGCTGGCTGAAGGGCTTGGGCTCTGAGGGCCGCATGTGCAGATGCGCCATCATGGCCTGCAGCCGCTCGCTCTCCTTGGCAAGCTGTGGAGGGTGGAGAGGCTGGAGGTGAGCAGGGGCTGCGCCTGGAGGCAGCCAGGTCCGGGTCCTCCTCCATATTCTACCGGGCTTCCCAGGAAGGCCCTGTTCCCACCACCACTCTCCCAGCCTCAGCATCCCAGCCCCTCTGGCCCTGCCCCTGTCCCCTCGGGGACTTCCTGCGCCATGAAGGCCTCCTTGCTTTTCCTCCAGACTGCATGTCCCAGGCTCTGGCTCATCCACAGGCGGGGGCCCTCTTCCTAACAGCACACGCCTTTTCTCCCCAACAAGGGCAGAGGCTGTGGCTGAACAACACCCAAGTTCAGTGCACTTGTGTGTGAGAGGGTCCTCATGCACTGAATGGAGACACAGGCGTGGATGAATGCTTCATTCTCCCCCATTCATGAATTCAATGGATCTTTCACGACGAGCATCTCCCGGCAGGGCCCTCTGCTAGGTGCCAGAGGCAAACGGGTAAATATTGACGGGCTGCCCGATGGTCTGTCCTGAGGAGCCCCGAGTGCTGGTGCTATAGGACTTGGACTCGGGAGCCAGGCTGCCCAGGTGCTAAGCCAGCGGTGCCACCTGCTAGCCAGGTGACCAGAGGCAAGTTACTTTGCTTCTGTTTTCTGTCAAGTGGGGATGATAACAGCACCCACCACACCAGGGTGTTCAGAGGGCTCCTCGAGTTACATAGGCAAAGTATTTAGGACAGCACAACGCAAGTTCTCGTGTGTTGGCTATGAATATTGTTTTCGTCTGACTAGCACGAGTCTCTTTTCTGGACCTCCCAGCAGAGACAACCCTGGCCCGAGTTGACCCGTTAGAATCCAGCTGCCCTCCCCTCAAAACCATGGTAATTAGGACCTAGAAAATAAAAGATGCTGACTTTGCCCCTATGACCCTTCCATCAGACTCCCCACACCCCTCCTGGAAAGTCAGTGCTGTGGGAGGGGCAGGAGCCGGAGCCCCCATCCAGGTCCCTCTGAGCTTCGGCCACACCTGGATCTCCAGCTGCTGTACCACCTGCATCTGCACCCGGCACTGGGCTGTGCTCCGGTCGTCCAGGGCGTGCTCTGTGTTGAGGTGTCTTGGGGGGGGAGGGGCGGAGAGGAGAAAGTTGGCCCTGGGTTTCCTGCTATCACCATCCTCCCATCCCATCCTCTAAGCCCGCCCACAGCCTGGAACGCAGACAGATCAAGAGATACAAAGAAGGGAAAGAGGTGGGGAAAAAATGGGGCAAAGGAAGAAGCCGCCTTCTCGTCACCCTCCTTTGATGTCTTTGCTAAAATCCCAGCTACAGAGAGATCTAATTGCAAATGAACTAATTAAGTAAACCTCTGACGAAGCGTGAAAACAATTTGTTTGACCCTGATGCTGCAAGGGTCTGGGAGACAGCGGAGTTAATCAGTCAGTGACAGAGCCTGGCACGGCGGTGGCAGCTGGCCGCCTGCTGCCAGCCGCCTGTCTGCCTCCTGCCCTGCCTGTCCACCGGCCAGGCCTGTCACTAGGCCATCACTCTTGGGGGCTGAGGCTGGGCGGAGGCAGTGGGGGGCATCCTCTCCTCCTCACACCCCACCCCGCTGGGCTGTGCGGCCTGGGGATGGGCTGGGAGGTGGGAGCACGGGCTGGGTAGGCGGGCAGGCATGATGGGGAGCTAGCTGTCTGATCAGAGTCCCCTGGGGGAGCACAGCAGGTGGCAGGCTGGGGGCTGAGGGACCCTGTGGAAAGGCTTCTTGGGGCAGAGAAGGCTGTGGGGAAGGAGAGGGCTGACACCTACTTGATGAACTGGCCCAGGTCTTCACACAGGGTCTCACAGCCAGGCCACTTGCACTCCCCGTGTCCATAGAGAGGGTGGGAACCGGGGGTCTCCTCATGGGAGGAGCTGGGAGAGGGAGGTAGTGGTGAGGGACCCCCAGACCCCAGCAGCCCAGCCCCAGGACCTTTCTGTCCCTAGCACAGGTTTCCCAAGACCTGGCACAGTTCTGCGTGCTCTGGGGGAGAGGTACACTTCAGGCCCCAGAGTGCCAGCTCTCCCTCCCGGCCCCACCCCTCCCCCCAGGCCCCACTGTGGACGCACCCCTAGGGCCCCCTTCCTGACCGGGCGTACCTGTCTCTCCGAGGTGTGAGCACAGTGGGCTGTCCGTTGGGCAAGGTGTGGTGGGAGAGCGGGGGTGAGACTTTGGAGGGGGCGGCAAACGAGGTAGCGGTGGTGGCTGTGCCAGTGAGGTCCAGCCCCTCCTGCTTGACACTGTCCTCAGCGGGCTGCCCGGGGGCACCCTCACCCTTCCATAGCTGGGGCAGGTCCGTGGGGCACACGGCTGCTGCAGGAGAGAGAGGGGAGAGGCTGGCGGGGCCCCAGGAACACAGGGAGCCTTCCCATCTCACCCCTGGGAGCCAGGATGCCAGCACTCGGGTACAGGGAGGGCTGCGGGGTGGGGCTGGGGGGGTGCACCACTCACCTTGCGGAAGGGTCTGGAGGGGCCCGGAGGCTTGGTTGGGCTGCAGGCTGACCAGCCCCTGTCTCTGCAGGTTGAGCAGGTGCTGCTGCTGCAGCTGTTGCATTTGCAGGAGCTGCTGCTGGAAGGCCAGCTGTTTGCTCCCCAGTGCCTGATGGGGGGCCCGGGAGGGTGGGCAGAGAGGGGTGCCATCAGCCTCAGGCGCACCATCTGGCCCCCACCCTGCGGTCACCCCCTCCCAGGGCCTCTCAGCCCCCGGAGCCGTGGGTGCCGTGTCCGACGCTGCGGCGTCTCTGCTCCCGGCCCAGCTTCCATAGGGCTGCATGCCTCCTCGCAGTAAACACACGCATGCACGCACGCACGCTTGCGCGCAAACACACAGCCAGACCCAGACGCACAGCACGACGCCTCCTTGCTCCCGCCTCCTTCTGCTGCTTAGCGCCTGCTCTAGCTCCCGCACCGCAGCTGTGCGCGCCTGGGGGGGGGGCGCTCTCATCACAATGATCGATGAGCCTGTCAGACCCGGGGCTACTCCAGCCTGGCAGGCACCCTTCCCACATGCCCGGGGTGCCCCCCTTCTGATCATGAGGAGGGGGCCTTCTCCCCTCCAGCTCCTCTTGCTTCTTAGATACAGAGAATCACAGAGTCTGACGGGACTTTCAAAGATCAGCATCAGCTGGTCATCGGGACGCAGGCTCAGGGAACAGTCACATCCCTACTGCTGAGGGGCACATGCGAGTACTCCCTCCGTCTGCCCCGCCCCCATTCAGTTTTCACTCAGGCACTGACAAGTCAGGCTGTCAGCAAGCCTTTCCCTAGCCTGTCCTGGGAGCTTGGGAGGCAGGGACCTCGCTGCGGCCTGCCCTGGGGGTGGGGGCTGGCTAGTCAATAAACCCAGCCTAGAGAGAATGCAGAGAATGCAGCAACTGCAAGGCCCTGAGGGGGGAGGCTGAGGCCTTGGGGTATGACTGGACATGAGCAGGGCAGGCTTCCTGGAAGAGGCAACTCAATTAGCTGTGGTTTGGCCAGCAGGAGGGAGGCACAGGTCTGGGCAAGGAGGGCAGACAGCAGGGCCTGGTATGGAAGCTCAGAAGGCACTGAGGCCCAGATGGGGCCGGGTGTAGGCTGGAGAGTTGTCTGGAGAGGGCAGAGTGGGGGCGGGGCTGAAGGTGGGGGCAAGTGGTTTGCTAAGCAAGTAAAAGATTCTCAGGACCAGAGTGGAGGGCTGAGGTGCTGGGTCACTGAGAGACAAGTGGGCAGGAAGAGGGCATGACAGTGAGGCAGCTGGTCAGGAGTGTGGACCACGTGACCATGTATGTACGTGTCTACACACATGTGCAGAGACGAACAGGGCTCTGTCTTCCTGCTCTGGTGAGTCAGCAACACAAGGCAAGGAGAGGACCGGATGGGGATGAGGGGAGATGGAGCAATGTGAGCCCCCGGCCCTGTCTCCCCACACTCCCTGATCCGCTCCCCGAGGCTTTTCCTGACTTTCCCACTCACTATGCCCAGCAGTGATTCCCTCTGACCACCTTGGATCTCCCAGCCTCTGGGCTGGAGAGGGCTGGGCTGCAGGCGGTGGGATAGGCCCCGAGCCCTTACCTCTTTGGGTTGCTGCTTCCCAGCCTGCTGCTGGGTGAGGAGCTGCAGGTGGAGCTGCTCTTGCTGCTTCTTGTAATATTCCTGCAGCTGCGCGGGAGGCAGGGGTGACAGGGTTACCACGGCAGCCCCTGAGCACCCAGCCCTGAGCTGACCTGGCTCCTGCAGGCAGGAGTGGGAGCCTTACTGGGGCAGTGGGACGCATGGCCGGGCAGGGAGATTTCTGCTCTGAGAGGCTCCGTGGATGGAGAGGCAGAGGGGAGCTTCATCCCGCACTGCCCAGCCCTCCTTGCCTTTGGTGGGTCCCCTGAATAGGTCAAGGTGCCAGGAGCCAGGATGTTCCAGTACGTGGCCCTTCCCAGGGGTGCTGGAGACAGAGGTGGGGCAAGGGCGCTGCTATGGAGCGGCCCGAGCTCTGACCCCCCCCCCCCCACTGCCCTGGGGAATGCAGATCAGTCCGGCCGGCCAAGCAGTCTCCCTGGTTCCTGCCACCCAGTGATGTTGGAAGTAGACAGGCTGGGAGGTGGGGGCCAGCGCCTCCCACCGCGGCTTCCCAGCGGCCCGGGCTCACCTGCTGGAGCATGAGTGCTTGCTGCTGCTGGAGCAAGGCCTGCAGCTGTGGGGGCGACAGGATCTGCTGCATCTGCTGGGGGGTCAGCATCTGCGGCGACATCATGGCCACCGACACGGGCACCTGTGGGATTCGGCCCCGTTAGCCTGCTGGCCTCCACCACCCAGGGCATGCGCCCCAGGCCCAGCCGCAGCACGGCAGAGTGGCTCCAGAGCGAGACTGCCACCTACTAGCTGGGTGTCACAGGACAGGTGACTGGCTCCGTTTTCCTGTTTGAAATGGAAGCAGCAACAGCACCTCCCTCTTCAAGTGAGCACAGGACCGACGAGTTAGTACTCAGAACAAAGCCTGCGTACAGCAAACGCTCCTGGAGGCTGCCGAGTCTTTGGAATGAGTATTTGGAATGTGCTAACTTAGGGGCAGGAAGACAACCTTCTAATGCCCGCCGGCAGAGCCCACCCGGTGATGGGAGGGAAGCAGCCAGCCATTCCCCACTCTTGCTCTCTCTCTTGGGGCATGGGGGGGGGGGGGGCAGGAGGGCAGGCTCTAGCCGTGGGGAGGATGAAAACTTGCCCACATGGCAGGAACCCCAGACTTTGGCTCTGTTCACATACAGGCCACACACTCCAGCACACCTGTCCAGGGGCACACAGGGCCCTGAGGATGCCATCGTTGCTGTGTGTGTAGCTATGTCTTCAGCGAGGTGGAAAGAACCCAGGCACGGAGTTAGGGGGCAGGCTTCCAGTCCTGGCTCTGCACCGAGCTTGCTGTGTGGCCCCCCAGCAAGTCACTTGCCCTCTCTGGAGTGTCAGTCTCTTCAAATGTCCAACAGGGATCGGGCTGTAAGCCCTTCCAGCTGGCGCCGCAGCATTCTCAGGGCACAGAGCTTTCTGACCCCTTCCCGGCCAGGGCTCTGCAGGAGGCCCGAGAATCCAGCTGCAGGCAGGAGGTGCAGGGAAAGGCGGTAACCTCATTCTTTCCCGCCCTGCCTGCCCTGAAGCCCCTGGCTCCTGGAGCCACCGCCAGGGAGGCCCAAGTTGCCACACTGTCTTATGGCCATTTCGGCAGGACAGGCGCCCTATGGGGCTCTCCACTAGCCTGTCGCTGCAAGTGCACAGCCTCTTCTCTAGTCTCCTTCTCACTCCTGGGCTCTAGCGCGGTGCCCGGCACACTGCCGGCACCAAGTGGGCTCTAGCGCAGTGGGCTCTAGTGCGGTGCCCGGCACACCGCCGGCACCCAGTGGGCTCTAGCACAGTGCCCGGCACACCACAGCACCAAGTGGGCTCTAGCACAGTGCCCGGCACACCACAGCACCAAGTGGGCTCTAGCACAGTGCCCGGCACACCGCAGGTACCAAGTGGGCTCTAGCGCAGTGCCTGGCACACCACAGCACCAAGTGGGCTCTAGCACAGTGCCCGGCACACCGCAGGTACCAAGTGGGCTCTAGCGCAGTGCCTGGCACACCACAGCACCAAGTGGGCTCTAGAGCAGTGCCCAGCACACCGCAGGTACCAAGTGGGCTCTAGAGCAGTGCCTGGCACACCGCAGGTACCAAGTGTTTGCTCCTGGGAACTGAGATACCTCTCCCAGCAGACTGGAGGCCCCTCTGCCAGCCCTGGGGTGGGGAGAAAGGGGTACAGGGTGGCCCAGTCAGGGAGCAGTGTCCTGCAGGGACTTGTCTTGGGCAACACATGATGTGATAGTTTGGGTCCCAGGGGATTCATGCCCCTGTCAACCCCCCTAGTTCCATGGGTGGGGCAGGGGAGGAGGAGTCGGTTCCTTTTGATTTCCTTCCTGGGCCGGGGCAGGACCCAGCCCCCCGCAGAGCAGCAGCCAGGGAGGTGCGGTGAATCAGGGGCCGGGAAGTCCCACTGCCCCCAGCTCTTCTTGCCCCTTAACTAGTGGCTGAGCCCAGCCCTGGGCTTTCCCCCAGCCGTCTCCGCACACACTCCTGGAGGGGCACCACCCGGCTCTCTAGCCATGGGCATCCCATGGGAAGGACAGCCCCAGGGCCTCCGCAAAGGAGCGTTAAGTGGCAGGGCTGGGGTTCAAGCCCAGATCTGGGTACTCTGTGGCTCCTGGTGTCTCCACATCCCACACTACCCGCCTGCCCTGGGGCAGCAGGTCTAGACATGTGTTACGGAGAATTGTGGAAAATGGACCGTCCAGGGAGCCGAACGGGGGACGGGGCTGGAGATCCCAAAGGTCAGCCTCCCTCTTTAGTCCGTATCAGAGACTCTGCAAAGCCAGGCTGCTGGGGTGTCCCGGTCCTCAGCGGGGCCCAGGGGAGGGGCGGACCGTGGCCCGGACCCACCGCCCCTGCAGGGCCAGCCCGGGTGACCCAGGAGGCAGCAGCACTGCTCACCTGCCCCCCGCCCCCCACGCGAGCACCCAGCACGGCAGTCCTGAGCTCAGAGCCCTGGATTTCGGAGTCAGGCGACCTAGGTTCTGGTCTGGGACATCGACTATTCTTTGAAGTCACCAAGCCTCACTGTCTCCATCCTCTCACTGGGGTCTGGAACACCTGCCAGCCCGCCCCAAGGACGACCCGGGAGGCTGTGGTTGGCTGCGGAGCAGGTGGCAGGCCCTCGGCCAAGCCCTGGTGAGTGACTCCCTGAAGCTTCACAGCAACCCCGGGAAGGTATCATCACCGCTATCATTGGACAGATGAGAAAACTGAGGCCCGGGGCAGTTGAACACCCTGCCCCGCCTCAAAGGGACAGGGGCAGGGCAGGTGAAAGTGCTTTGTGTGCGTTCACTTCCCGCCATTGTGAAAACACTGCTTTCCCAAGAGCACGCTGCCTTTTCCTCCTCCCCTCCCCCTGCTCCACTCCAGCACCTCAGGTACTCCAGGGCCCCAGGGGCACTGGGGGGCAAGGGTCACCTAGGACAAAAGCAGTGGGCCCCCTCTCCTCACGGAGAGAGCTGCCCCGGAGATGAACTCGGCCACAGCGGGGGAGACTGAGACCAGACACCCAGACCTTTCCAGGCACCAGGAGTGAGTCACTCCGAGTGGCATGCGCGAAAGGATGTGGCATTTCCTTCCTTGGGGCTTTCCTACATGGAGGCAGAGGGATGGAAGATGACCCGGGAAGGCCTCCCCAGCCCCTGCCGTGTGGCCACGTGGCCGGCTGCTGGCTGGAGAGGCGGCGGCAGAGATAGATCAGGATGGATTACTTCTGTGTACTTGTCTCTAAGGTGGCCCAACGGGGTCAAGAAAGGTCAGCAGAGGGGCTGCCACATACGGATCTCCTGAGCTGGCTGACCCATCCACCTCCCCCCTCACACCCCTTGGGGCTCTGAGCACTGAGCTGGAGCTCCCCTGGGTCCCTACGGACTACTCAGCAGGCCAGGATGTCAGGATGGGCACTGTGGGCTAGTGAGCTCAGCAAAGCCCATGAGTCACCATCTGGAGAGTGGCCAGGGCAGCTACATGCTTACTAAAGCCCTGGCAGTGTGAGCTCCGGGCTAACTGCTGACAGCTGCCGCCAGCCCCGCCCCCAGGGGCCCTGCACAGGCCCCAGCCCTCCACCCACCGTGACTGCAGCGGGCTGGGCTGGATGGCATGACAGGGAGGAACAGGGATGGGGCCTGACACAGAGGAAGCTTATCTGGGGCTGAGGGTTGGGATGGATGCAATTTCGTGCCAATCAAGGACTCAAACTCAACCTCTGAAGTTGGGGTCTGGAGTCCCAGGGTGTTTTCGGAGACTAGGCCAGAGCTTGCTTTGGGTTAAATTCCCTTGTGTATGACCAGAAGGAAGTCCTCAAACTAGTTCTGGGCTGAATCTACAACAGAATAGATCATGGTGGGACATGAAGATCTCCTAGAAATGCCAGAAGGGTGGGCCTCAGGGGGGCTGAGAGGACGCAAGGCTGGGCGGAGCTAAGGGGCCTGAACCGCACCTGAGCCTGACTTCTCCCCGCCTGGCATCCAGGCCTGGGCACCACCCCGGCCATCTCCAGGCTGGAGCTGGACACCTAATATGGTCTGAGAGAATCATCTGAAGCTGGCTCTAGGAGGAGGCTGGTGAACATGGATGGAGGTGAGTGTGGGCAGGAAACCCCACCTGGAGTTGGGGAGCAGGACAGTGTTGTGTGGAGACCCCCGGGGAGGGGCTGCCATCAACCTCCCTTCATTACCCTTCTCTTCAGTCAACGCCAAACCCACAGAGTGCACGCGTCTACCTGCTCTTCCCTATCCCCCACCAGCCTTCTGGGCCCTGGCCCCCAGTTGGGAACGGAAGCCCCACCTTCTTAGAGACTGTAAACTTGAAAGGCAAGGGAGGTGCCGGGGTTGGAGGAGGAGAAGGATCAACAGTTAGGGCTCTTGGGGAAGTTCAGATGAGAACGGCCACCGCCCTGAGCCCAGAGAACCCTCCGGCAAGGGGTCTGGCCCTGTGGACTGTTAGTGTTGACTACTGTGCTAAGCACATGCCAGTGTCACAGGTCACGGTGTGGGCACTAAAGTGTGAGTTCCGGAGACAGTTGTGTGGGTTCGAATCCTGGCTCTGCCCCTTATTAGCTGTGTGACTTTGGGCAAGTTACTTAACCTCTCTGGGCCTCAGTTTCCTCCTCTGCAAGATGGAGCTGATAACAGTATTCCCCCACAGGATGGTGAGGAAAAGGAGATGCACTTATAAAGCACTTAGTGTCTGCCCCGGCAAGCCCCTCTAGATGCCAGCCGCTGGTTTCGGAAGTACTGAGTGAGGGCGTGTGGAATGGAGGAACCGACCAACCTCTGGGTGTGAGGAGACAAGAGAGGAGGAGACCGAAGAATTATTTTATCTGTCCCTCTGAGCAAAACCTCTGCCCTCATTCTAGGCCATCCAGGGACCTCTCCTCTTTCCGGAGAGGGGGTCTCCCAAGGAAAATGCCACACAGCCTCCCTTCCCTTCTCATTATTGCAGATCGACCCTCAGACCCAGCTGCAAAGCCCTTCCTGGGTCTGACCTCAGTCTCTCCAACGCCCACCAAGCTCCTCCTTGCTGGTCTTGGGTCCGCAGGCCCTTTCTGGGTTAGGGGAATATTCCTGTTCCCCAGCCTACCTCTCCCCGCTCTTAGAAGGGGGTACTGGGCTGGGCCCAGGTGGGAAGCATTAGGAACAGTAGCCTGAAGGTCACTTCAGCCCTAGGGAGTTGGGGGCATCCCTAATTCAGAGACCTGGTCCCGACACCACAAAGGCCTGGAGAACTTTCTCTTCTTCCCAATACTGGCTTTCCTGGTTGTGTCCTCCCCTCCCCAACCCAGGCCAGCACCCCTCTTTGCCCAACTCCTCCCCCTCGAGGGCTGTCTCATCAGGTTCGAGACTTCTAAAACAGGGCTACTGGTCGGGGCCCACAGCTGTTGGGCACCTTGAACTTCTTCAAAGCACTTTCTGACCATAAGTTTGTTTTACAGAAAACCCGGTCCTGGGTCCTTCTCCGGGCACCCTGCCCCCCATCCCTCATCCCGCCCTCCTCCTCACTTCCCTCCTGCCCTCAGCACCCCGCCCCCCCAGACTCCAGAGCTTCTCGCTCAGGATCGTGTTCAGTCTTCCTCCCTTAGATAAACTTCCTTTCAAAGCCCCGCTTAATCCCCTCCCCAATTCCAAGCCTCCCCTTCACGGTGGGGAGGTGTGGGGGTAGCAAAAAGGCTTGGTCGCTGGGCTGAGGGGGAGGAGACCAGGCTGCCCCAGTAGTGACCCACCCCGGACTCAGACGGACTCAGACAGCGATTCTCCAAGTTCTTTGTGACACAAAAGGTAAACAGAAGGCCTGGCTTACCCCCGCCCACCCCCCACAGATCTCCCTCCCCCATCCAGCCAGATGGGCCGGCAGGTTGGGGGAAGGGAGAGGGGGAAAAGGGCAGATTGTGCAAAGGAAAACAAAAGAGACAGAGAGACATCAAGAGACAGGAAACACGGGGAGACAGTGAGAATTGGTGGGTGAGAGATTAGGGGGGCTGTGGTGACCTCAGCCGCTGAGAGAGCCTGGGAAGGGAGCAGAGAGGGCCAAGCCCAGTGACCACGCCGGGATGGAGAAACAGAAACCTGAGAAGTAACCCTGACGCCTGCGGAGAGGGACGGAGACAGAGATCTGAGCGCAGGCTCTGACTCAGGGACAAAGAGGCCGAGCAGAGGAAGGCCGGGGGATCAGGTGGACACGAGAGGGAAAGTGGAGTTTCTTCACCCTGCTCCAGCCTTTCCCTCCGGGCCGCTGCCCACTTCTGGCCCTGGGCACTGGCCAGAGCGATTCTCCACCGGCTCCTCCTCTCCGGGTCTAGCCAAGCCCGACCCCTGACCTGGCCCGGGCCAGCCCGCCCAGCCCCAGGGACGCCCTCCTCACCTGCACGGCAGAGGCAGACTGCTTGCTGTCACTGTTCCCGGGGGAGCTCAGGCCCGAGGCCTGCTGCAGCAGGAACTGCCGGGCTACCTGGAGAGCCTGCAAGACAGGGCGAGTCAGTGGGCCTGCCCCCAGCTGTGGGCTGCAGGGCTGCGCAGTCAGGATTCAGGGAGAGTTCGGGCGGTGGACGGGAGGAGGTCTGGGCAAGATGGAAGGTCTTGGGGGTGAGTGAGAGGCTCAGGGGTCCACTTGGGCTTGGGGTAAGTGTAAAGATAGGAGTTACTGAGGCATCCAAGCCTGTAGGGACTCACTCTGGAACCTGGTGAGGTTTGCTCCCTCATGGGGTCAGCAACTGGAAGGATCTGAGGTCAGACAAGGGGTTAGACTCGGGGGATAAATCACAGGTACTACTTGTAGAGCATCTACTGTGGGTCAGACACTTCCCAGGTGTCTGGGAGGTAAAACTATTCTCTTCCCTTCAAGTTCTTCTGGCTGGACTAATAATCAGATTAACACAAAGCAGATTAGCGGGAGAAAAAACATTCAAGTTTAATAACATATACTTCCTGTACACACGGGAGAGACTCAGGAACAGAGTAACGGGCCGTCACCTTACATACCCTCCCTCAGCTGAAGACGCAAGCTGATGTTGGGGGTGGAGAGCCAGTGCTGAGGTTGCCAGGAAGAGCGAGGACCAGGGAAGGGGGCTGTGCAGACTTGAGCCCATGCCCTCTGTATGGACAGACCCAGGCCTGGCACAGGGCGGGGCGCGCCCTTCCAGATGGAACTCTCCCGCACAATCGCGCGTTCCTTTGCCAAAGGGCACCTTCTACTTGGTTTTCAGAGCTTCTCTCAAGTCTGCTGTTTCTTAAAATTGACCAGCCTTAAATAATCAATATCCCCAAGTGGCGTATTTTGGGGTGGCCCACTCTGCTCCCCTTCACAGGCAAGAGCTCATTGAGTTCTCTCCTGTGAGGAGGTGAGGTAGGATCAGCCCTATTTTGCAGATGAGGAGAGAGTGACCAGAGGGTTCAGTGACTTGCCCGAGATCGCACAGCTAGCAGGTGTCAGAGACAGGACTGGCGCCCGGGCAGCCCGCTCCACAGGCCGACTGACCTACTGTGTGCTGGTCCAGGGCCTAGGGAGCAGCATTCACAGGGAACCCGACCACACAGCTGGGGTGTCCCAGGGTGGGGGCAGGGGGTGTGTAGGCAGCACTGAAGGAATTCAAGTTCTGGAGGGGGGTGACGACGCGTCAGTGAGTTGCACGGACTGGCGGCAGCTCTCGGAGGCCACGGTGCTCGGATGGACTCTGACCAGAGTCGGCGGAGTGGGAAGGGTATGGCATTTCCCGGCGCAGCTGGCCCGGCAGTGGGCCTGGATGGTGGGCACAGGAGCTGAGATGGGTAGGAGAGCGAGGGGTGAGGGAGGCCCTCAGAGTCAAGGGATGTGGGGACCTGTCCTGAACCCACACTCCAGGAGCAGAAACCCGGCTGCCTCCAGGTTTCTCAGAGACCTTGGGAGCCCGAGCAGCTGTGTCCAGGCCCTCGACCAGGGGCTCCGGCCTCAGGCAGACCCGGATTTGAGTCCCCGTATGATACCAGCGGTGTGACCTTGGACAAGCTGTTCCATTTCTGTGTTTCAGTCTCCTGATCTGCAAAACTGGGACACTCCCCATCTCCGAGACACTCGGGGAATTAAAGGACCAAGGCGTCCCTTCGTCGGCATTCACGCGCGAAGTGCCTGTCCCTCCCTCCTGGAGAACCTCAGTTCTGCCTCACCTCCTCCGGCCTCTCCCGACGCCGCTCGGGCCTGGTGCACCTCTTCAGGGACACGTGCCCACCTGCGGCTCCCTCACCGCGGTCCACACACTGTCTGTCCTCACGTGGACTTCTACTGTCCTACCCTACCACAGCACCGGAGGCAGGACCCCGTGAGGGGAACACGGACGCCCTCGGAAAACACTCCTGAGCGCCTCTGCGTACCAAGCATGTACACACCCCCGGCAGCCCTTCCCCGCATCACACAGCTGAGCCTCCCAGAGGCCGGAATCCAGTCTACCTCAGGACAGTGTCCAAATACACCCTGGTCATCTATGGGCACGGGTCTCCCGCCAAACCTGGAGTTAGGTTAGGTGCACCCCCCGGCAGCCCCCCGACCCAGCGCCTCCCCCCCCCTGTCTCTTCCCTGGGACCTCACACCAAGATTTGTGGCCTGGGGTTTCTTAAGATTCACTTCAGGCCCAGCTGGTATGGCTCAGTGGTTGAGCGTCGACCCACGCACCAAGAGGTTACCAGTCCGATTCCTGATCAGGGCACATGCCCAGGCTGTGGGCCCGATCCCCAGTGGAGGGCATGCAGGAGGCAGCCAATCGATGTTCTCTCTCATCGATATTTCTATCTTTCTCTCTCTCTCCCTTCCTCTCTTTCTAAAAGCAATAAAGAAAAAATTAAAAAAAAAAAAAAAAGATTCGCTTCAGGAAGTATGTAAGTTTGACCTTCCTGAGGCAAAGGACTCTGAGAGGCTGTGGAAAGGTGGGTGCGGGCAGGGTGGGCACAGAGAGGGGGTGGCCAGGCGACCATTAGGAAGGAGCCCTTGTCCCTGCCTGCCTTGCTTTTCGTGACCCCCCAGGTCTAATGACACAGGCTGGACACATGCTCTTTGTCCTCCAAAGGCAGAGGGCAGAGGGGTCAGGGGACAAGGCAGGGGAAGAGGATGGCTCGGAGGAGTGTCAGGCCAGGCAAGCCAGAGGGGACGCTGGTCAGGGCGGGGAGAGGAAGCACCCAGCGCCCTGGGTTGGGGGCACACAGAGAGGTTTCCAGGCGAAGCTGGGGGAGCCCCATGCAGTCTCCTGGTGGGGGCAGTGGCCAGGGAGCTGGATTTACTCCCCACTGACTTTCTTACTCTGTGGTCCCCTGGAGCATGAAATTACAAGGTTTATAGAAAAAAATGACATGGGTTTGTAATCTCATTCCTGAGAGACGTCCCTGTGAAAGGCCCTTCACTCCTGCTCCTGTCACCCTCCCAATTGGGGCCTTTCCTCCCCCAGGGCCTCCCCTGGGCCCAGATCATGGCCAGGGGAGAGCGGGCCTGGCTGAGGCCTCCTCTGACTCCCGCTTCCCCTCCCCTCCTCACATTCGCCTGCTGTGCCAGGGAGCACGGGCGCTGACGACACACCCACACGGCCTGCCCAGAGCCATGCCCGGCAGAGCGGAGCAGAGGCCGGAGGCGGGCACCAGGTCCCAGAGCCAGGGAAGGGCCTCCAGGGGAGGTGGCAGCACAGACAGGTCCTGAGGAGTGTCCAAGCACACCGGCCCATGCTCCGCAGAGAGGTGACCGGCCCAGGGAGCCAGGGGACCTGACCATTCCCGGGCAGAAATCGAGTTGCGTTGGGGACAATAGTGGGAGAGGTGCCGGGGCCGCAGGTCACCGGTGGGACCTCCTCAGGCACCTCACGCACTCGCTCCCCCCCTTCGCGCACTCCAATGCACGCCATTGTCGGCTCACTGGTCCTGCTCTTGGAGATGGTGAGGCGACAGTGACCCACACAAGGTGGTTCTGTGTAATTTGCCCTGACCCAATTTAGGGTGATCTGCGTACGACCTAAAGTCACCCTGCAGGTACCCAGGGCTGGGGGAAAGGCAGATCCTGGGCGTGGGGTCCCCGCTGCCCTCCTGGATGGCCTGGACACGGCACTGACAGCCCAGGGCACCGAGTCTTCCCGACACGTCCAGACTTCCACCCAGGAGGCCCCTTCCAGGTGGTCACCCCAGGGATCAGCAGGGCCAATATTCTGTAAGCTCCACCCGAGTCACATCCACCACTCTGATGCCCAGTGTCCACACTGGCTGCTGGCACCGGTGTCTGACCCATCACTGGCCTGGGAGGTGGGAAACGAGCCCCTCCCCCCACAGATCCAGCCCGGCTGACTCTGTGACGCCAGCGGGGCTGCAGCCTCCTTGACACACAGCTGTCAAGTGTGTCTGTGAGCCCCAGCCTCCAGCACGCAGCGGACACCGGTGAAAGTCTCGCCAGTCTAGGCTGGACGTGGGAGGCAGGCGCAGGCTGGCACGGGGCTTAGGCTGGCGTCCGGACAGTGCCCGGAGGTGTTCGAAGCGCTTCTCCGCACATTCAGTGGAGGCTTCACAACCCCGAGCAGGCCGGGCAGGTGCCACCGTCTCCACGGTCCAGCAAGGAAACTGAAGCCCAAGGCCTACTGCCAGGAAGCAGAGTCCAAACACCGCGAGTCCCCGGCCGTGGGTCTGCCCCCGCCCCGCCCCCAGCCAGCCTGGTGTTCCAGTGGGATCCCTAGGAGATGAGTGGGCTCCGTCTCCCTTCCCCGGGGCCCACAGGCACCCAAACACTGGCTTGGGTGGCAAAAAGCACTTAGAATCCCACACCGGGGACAAGCCATCATGGAAAATCTGGGAAGAAGGAGGAAGAGGGGACTCAGGGCAGAAAGTGGGAGCCATCTGGCTTCTTAAACTGCATTTTCTCCTCCCTCCACCCCTTGAACTGAAACCCAAATGCCCAGCTCTGTGGTTTGGGGAGTAAGGTCTAGCTTTCCGCTAAGGGAGGCAGGAGGGGTCTGTGCCATGCGTGGACCCCGGTCAGCTCCGTAGCCAACCCCTGGCTCCACCATATACTGAGTGACCTTGGGTAAGTCACATGACCTCTGAGCTCTGAGCTCCGGGTTCTTCCTCTGCAAAACAGGGATAACGCTGTACTTAGCTCACAGGGTTGTTGTGACGAGTATATGAGACAACATGCGCGGGGTTTGCAGCACAGTGCCTGGCGCCCAGTGGGCCCCACGTGGGCACTAACTATTGTCATGGAATCTTCTGCCTTTCCAGGCAGCTCCTGGTCATCTGTCCTATGCCACCCAGAAGGACTTGCTAACCAAACCCTCTTCCAGCCCACACCCACCCCCGTTTCCCCTCAAGCCAAAGAACTCTCTCTGCTAATGAAGCTGAACTCTCCTCCCCCATCGCCCATTCAGAAGTCATTAGCAGGATCTCCACAATTAGGAACAAATGGCTTATAACGGATGGCATCCAGGGAGGGCGGCTGGGATGGGGGGAATGAAGCTCAGCTGTGAG